TTGTGATATGCAGTTATATCAGATGGTGATAATTTAATACATTAATTCATACAGCAGTGTAATCTGGGATGTGGATGAAACTTTTAAGCCATCGAAATTTGCACTTGCTTAGTCTTTTCTAACCATTTTCACTGCATTACCGTAGTAGGGTAGGACTAGAATGGAACATATGCCAACCATGTGAGTAGTCCACCCAATAAATCCCACCCCAGGGGAGGACATCCATCACACAGTAATCTCGTGCATGGGAAATTAACGTCTCCTACCTCTAAGAGACAGGACCTCCATTTATTCGTCCCTATCCGAGAAGACTAGAATATCTAACCATTTCTTGATGTTATAGAAAGGTAGCATATTCTTCTCAATTAGTTTAAGACCTTGAGTGTTGGTCCGGCTGGGGCTTCAACCATTGACCTCCTACACAGCAGTCCAGCACTCTATCGATTGAGCTAGCTGGGGCCAGTGGTTTCTTGGAACCAGGGCCATGCTATCTTAACCCTACAACTCCCAAGATCTGACTGTTAACTCTCCTCTCTACCTGCTACACATTTCCTTGTAAATTAGTTACAAGAAAATGGAGATAGATTAAGACAACAACTTCTACCAGATCAGTTTGAGTATTCTCAATACCTGTTTGCTGGATAATGACTGGATACATGTATTTCTGGGAGAAGTTACATTCTAATCACTTCTGGGAATTAAAGGGTTTAGGATGCTCCACTTTTTTAAAATTTTTTCCCCATGAAAATAACCTTGCTAATCGTGTCTTTTTTTCCTTGGTTGGGGACATGTATACATAGGTTCACCATTCCTTGGTTCAGCATAAGTATACCTAGTGGCTTGGACAAATATGCCTTTGTATTTATTGGAGTTATTGTATAATATTTTAATTCTGTAATTCAGCCATTCTGTCTATTGCTGCAAGGAGTCTTAATAAACAGTCTTTATAGTCTTTACAGTCTTTAATTTATAAAAAGTCAAATGCACTTAGTTACAACAACAATTCTTGTACCTGGCCAATTCTGGCTGCAAGCTCCAAGTCCTTCTCTTTCTGTTAATAAATATAAATCACATCTACGTTAATCTCACTAGAAATAGAATGTGATCTAGTACATGTATGAGTGGCGAGAGCACTCGCCTCCCACCACTGTGGCCCGGGTTCGATTCCCGGACCTGGCGTCTCGTGTGGGTTGAGTTTGTTGTTGGTTCTCATCCTTGCTCCGAAGGTTTTTCTCCGGGTCCTCCGGTTTTCCTCCCTCCGCAAAAACCAACATTTCCAAATTCCAACTCGATCTGGAACAGTGGACAAGAATAGCCACCCAGTGGATGTCCATTGTTAAATCATTATTTATTTATTTATTATTTATTTATTTGTATTCAGTGTTTTAACGTACCAAAATCTCAAAGCACATCATCAAAGAAGCAGTGTAATCTGCAAGCAGAACTGCCATCTGGCTCCCTTGCAAATTCAGGAAAAGGAAGGTACTTGCCTCTTCCCCATTTTTCTAAGAGGGTCAAGGATGACTTTGCTTTCAGAGTAGGGTGCAGTGTGGCATTGCAAATTTTGAAAACACCTCTGCATGTTGTCTAATTCAGTGCTGTTTCCACTACTTGTACATGGCTTTGCTACATACCTCTTGTAAGAGCTGCAAAATGGCATCCAAGTCATTGTATGTTTTACTCATCTGGTTTGTTCGATCTGATGCCAAAGCTAAAAGCAGTAAAAGGAGACTGAATTAATTTTCAAAATTTGGATTGTGCATTATTTGAGAAATGGAACAGCGAGAGATTGGTTTAAAATAACTAGAAAATATTTTACAATCTGAATACAAACTAACTCAAATCATTGAAATTTAGCAGGAGAATTCTGCAAATAGTAGCCAAAGAATTCTCCTAGCTCTGAAGCTACATCAACTACTGATTTCTCTCTACTTTAAACCAGCAACAAAATGGCAATGACAATTGGCACAATCAGACTTACATGTACACATAAAAAATCACCTATAAATGCTGTATAGTAATCAATTCACACAGTTGCAGTACAAATTAATTTCAAATCAATTGTGATAACAAGAACGTAATTACCATCTACAGGTGTTTTTAAATATCCAAGATTTCTTTTATACATTTTCCTCAGAACAATATTACACTTGAGCCTCAAAATACAACTCACAGTCACTGACGGCCAAATCAATTTACATGTACCCTAACAACGTGACATGTACAAGATTAAATCGTTGTGCTTGAGAGTTGAAGCTGATTTAACACTTTTAAATGTTTTAACTTTACAATTTGCAGCCAAAATCAAATTAACAGCAATACTTAAAATTTGTCAAACCAGTTTCAAATTCTCATATTAACTTAATTAAAAGATATGGCCAGACAGTGAGAAAAAGGACATGACTGTATCAATTTCTATTTTTGATTGACAATGACTCTTGCCTGAACTGTCCACATATTCGTTCTAACTCGCATTTATTAAATTAATCTAAAAGCTGCCGACTTCTCAATATATAAGTTCTACTACCAATACTGACAGGCAATATTGCAATGATATTTCACTTAAATAGTTAATGGTTTATCGCACAAGTTAATTTTGTGCAATTTATATGATACATTTATATAACAAGGAGAACATTTCTACCTACACGTAAATGTCTACCACTATAACAAGGGAACACCACTTCAATATGATAAATTGAATGTGTGTACAATCATGCAGATGTGCAAAATATTGAACACTGTACCTTTATACTTATCCATTGTACAGCATTATTGTCAGCACTATAAATTTGCAACCCTTTACCAAAATTTCAGTGCTGCACTGCATGTATAATTATTAATTCAAGTGTAAAAACCTCACGCTTTTATCAATTTAAGGGCCAAAGGTTCCATTAACAATACAATAGATCGATTTGAAATGCAAAGTTCCAATATTAGAACTTTAAAACACATTGTCTCCTAATTCATGATGACTTGTCTGCCTGAAGGTTATTAATTATTCAACAACACTCGCTCTGCTATTAGCAAGAGCACTACTTGATTGAATTCAAATACAACTACTATAAATAATTAAGAATACAAAAAAATGCAATTCATAATGTTAAACCTTGGCATGAGTATAACATGTATAGAAATAAACTTGGAGGTGTTCAGATCTTATCAAAAACTTTTGAGGAATTTAAAAAATCTCTCCCTTGAATGAATTTTTGGATTTTACTACGTCAATGGACAATCAGTATTGTTACAACCCCTGTATGCCAATCACATTACTTGAGATTAAGAAATAGTCATTCCTTCCTGCAAATGGTACTTCTCACTGCCACAGATTTAACAGTACTGAACATGTCTCTAAAATTCTTGGAAGCTTTTGACATAACTGCAAGCATTGTAATAATTATAATCATTGAAGATTAGTACATGACTGTATAAAATAGATTGCACGAGGAGCTTGTAAAGTTTAACAACAAGAAATAAACACTATTGACAAACCCACAAGGTCATGTTTCTTTAGAATAAATCTAAATCTTTCTTTTTTTCTGCTGTTCCAAGCTTACAAGTACAATGAGAAGTATTTCTATAAAAAATTATCTTTTGAACAAGAAATTCATGTTTTTAACTTTAATAAGCCATTCTTGGTAAACCACAAGCATTCAAGAAATAATTTCCACCAAAAACACAGGTATTAACTGCTTGTTTGACCATGAATGGTTTCAGAAGATCAAAACAAATCTCATTCCAACTGTCTCTAGATACACGTATACATAATTGAACGTGTTTTGATGTAAATTCCACATGAGATCAAAAAGGAATAAATAATGTAAATTCATTCATGTGTAGATATAACAAGCATTTCTATAAGTTGAGCTTTTCATGTGACAGAAAAGCAAAGAGGAAGTATTTAAAAAATGTCCCATTTTTATGCATCCTAAATGTAACAAGTTCTTGAATAAATATCTATTTAGATTCCTAAACCCAAATTCAGCTGTGTACTGTACATTGCATGAAGTAGAATCACAATGCTACATTTTGAAGCTACGATGTTTGAGAATGCAAAAATGCATCAAAGTACTTACGAGCACAGACAAGGAGATAAAACAAAGATGTCTGGCTGAAAAAAGATTAATCTCAAGCTTCGTATGCCAGTACAAAGTCAAAGTGGTTAGTTTTGTTTGTTGATCTAAACATTCACGATGTCCACAATTCGATGTTCATGTGCTACACGAGAAAGGGTATTAATACTTCCATTACACACAAGATTCTCTATAAAACGTAACAAAAATAATGACAGAGAAACTGGTACAGTGTATAGGATTCCATCATAATAAACCTCGTGACAATAGGAAACAGTGGGGAAAGCATCACGCGAAACAATAAAAGCAAAACAAATGTTCAAGACATATAACATTACGATTATATAAACAGTGAAAAGTCTATGAAATCTTTCAGTAAAAGAAAAACAGAAGGGGGCAAATGAATTACTATCTATATAAGCCTCTCGTCGAAAAATAATCAATATTTCACAGGTGATTGCATAACTGTAGCAGTAAATAGAATCAAACATTTCTTTTGCATGAGAATAAATTTACAAGTAATCTTGTGTCATTATTGTTAAAGTTGAATTGCGAATTTTATACAGCAAAACAAGGACCTTCACGGACATGAGACACTGGAAAATAAATACAAAGATTTCTGCAATACAAGGAATAAAGGCTCATTTAAAATATTTGTCAGAGATGGCTTGATTTTCATCATTCGTTTAATTTGATTCAAACATTGCATAATGCCAAGTGGTTTAATGTTGAAACGACAATTCTTGATCGATTCTTCTAGTATTTCCGACAAATGCTTATTTGCCTGTTTCACTCAACTCACGCAGTGTTTCAATCGAAAGTGATCAAACGAACTTAAGAATCAATACTTACTAAAGTATTTCAACGTTTCCTGTGCCTGTTCTGTTGTTAAATCAAGATCTCCCAGTTGTAAATATAGTTCGTCTCCGGTGAACTCCGGTCCGAGAAAATCTGCTTCAGCTACATCTCCTGTGGCACTCTCTACTCCACTTTCAATCTCCAGATTATCGGAATTGGATAGTGTTTCTTCTACATAACTATCATCGCCTAAAATCTCAGAAGAACACCACTCTTCGGTGCAAGTGTCGTCTTTCTCTATGTTGTCGCATGATGGCGAGCACTTGGGATCTTTAGTTTCGCATTCTTCCATTGTATCTGTCGATTCGCGATCGCCATGATGTATAAATGAAGATCGTTTGATTACTTCCAAGCCCGCCAGTTTTAGCGTTCTTCAAAGCAAAAAACGACTGCGAAAGAGAGCCGTCACCGAAGACAAAAGCAACGGCAAAAAAGCCTTGATTACCGTTGAAACCGGCGAATGATCCCCTAACACAAAGATGTGTAAATATATCGACAAGAAACTCCACACTGTAGGCCTTTCTCCGAGTTACTGCTCAAAATACTGGACTACCATTAAGCATTGTTTGTTGTGATTGAAATAACAAATAACCAAGTCGAAGAAAGGAGAGAAATCAAAAGAGAAGCGAGAAATTCAGCTGACGATATTTAGTTCATGCTCTGTAACATTCATCACATTTCTGTAGGCCTCGACTTCGTGTATATATGACAAAACTTAGTATGGGAGGGAGAGTATACTCCACGGGTCTTTTTCTGAACTCTCCATGGGTAACAGACCATAAATGGAAAAAACGGGAAATTTGTTACGAAAGTTGATGGCGGAAAGGAATATTATAAAACATCCAGAAATAATTAAAATTTGACTCTCACAATGCTCCCGTAACAGAAGTTGCAGTTTACTAGTCTAATCAAGAAATACCAGGCCAATTATTGTGAGAATTCAGGACGTGGCTTCCAATTTATATGAGATGGTTAAGCGTCCTTCTTAGATGCCGTGAAGCGCATAAACACTTTTCACTTAAGTGAAGTACATGTGTACAAAAAATTAGACATTATTTTCTTGTCTGAATTATAAAGTAATATAACAGGAGCCCATTACATAGGTTCCTGATTATAAGCATTATAGTTGAGAAAAAAATTCGTGGCCGGCGAGTGACACGGCGTTTCGTCTCCGTCAAGAGACTCATAAGATACTTTTCGTGAATTTGAAGCGAACTCGTCGAACATCACGTTCAAGCATTATATTCCAGAGTCCTACCCTTATAAACTTCCATCAACTAGTAACCATTGCGGAGAATGAAGCGTCCTGAGAAAGTAAAACAACTCCTTTTGTTTTTAAACGCCCCGAGGGATTTTCGCCGACCCTCAACGAAAAACTGCGTGGAGCTGGATTGTTATTGGTATGGAAAATCAGCCGTACATGAGAGAAAAACTTGCTATCAGCTGACTTTCAAAGGCGCGCGTGAGTCCAAAGAAATCAAGATATTTTTCTTTTACTTGGAAATAAAGAAAAAACTTAAAAATCATCACGAAGTGCTCGATCGTTCCGCAGCAGCTGATCATGATGGTGATTCGCTTAACCCGTTGGTCATGTATCATTTTCATTTATGCAGCTAACCGCTAGATTTAGCTAGTATCATAGGTTTATAAGTCTAGGGTTGGCTGATGTACACGGTACCAAACAGGAGCTTAGCAGTGTCCTGTACGTGCGAGTGCGCACGCTTTAGCGGGAAAAAATAGACACGTTTTGTTCATTAACAGCTGGAGCGTTAAAATTAAAAGTAAACACAGGCCTGCATATTTATTTTCAAACTGATTACGACGCAAAACTTTTGATATTTGTTTTTCTAATTATCTAATCCGCTAAAAAGCCGATATATAACTATAGCAGTTTCAGGTTAAGCGTTACGTCAAACAATTGGTTACGCCAAGATACATTAATATGGCAAAAAACACGTCGAAAAAAGAGTTTCTCAAAACTTTACACCTAAATGTTGTTGACTTAAGGTTTTCAACCATCTCTTAGAAACTCAAATAGAGTTTACAGCGTGCGATAACATATTACCTTGGAGTTGTAGATAAAGCTGAACTTAGTTTTAATTTATATGCCAAAACTAAACAGCTCACCTCCCTGCAACTGAATTCCAAACGTGATTGTAAACACGATTGAGCTAAGCTTTGTACTAAGGGATACTACGTCCATCGATTAGTTAAACTCTATATAGAAACTGTCACGTAGCCTCAGCTATCTACTTAACTTCTCACACCAAAATATTAAATCATTCGCTGAGAATCTCAAGCGGCATCAAAAAGAAATTATGCTGTATACTTACAAATTAAATCCTCAAATCCTGATTCCGAGAGAACGCTTTCCTCGCCATCACAGCTTTCGTGATCAAAATGTTGATCAGTTCTTTCGCCAGCCTCCATTAATGCATGCAAGTAAAATTCATGAACGATTTCATATGCTTTTTTGAAGAACTGGACACAACTGGTGGTTGAGGTTAGAAAGCAAACAGGTTTGATCGTAGTTCTCTCCGAATTAAAGATCTGATCACAACATCGCTGTCTGACGACGCTTACTCACAGAGATTAATCCAGAGTTACAGTAAAACTGAGACAATGCGTCTATTTGTACACTGCAGTTCTACCAATAGGAAAGAATATTAAACAATCATTGGAGAGGTCATTTTCTATTGAATGCAACGCAATTTGCTGATTTAAATTAACATAGACAAGAGGTTCCTTGTTTGGTAAACAATAGACGGTGGGCTGACTTGATCTGCAAGAACTCAGTCTTCTTTGCATAAATTACACGCTGCCGAGACCCGAAACCCGAAACCCGAAACTCGAAACCCGAAACCCGAAACTCGAAACCCGAAATTACACGCTGTCAAAATCCGAAGGATCTGTTGTTTCTGGAAATATACGATCTGTTAACAAAAATAAAGATAACTAACTTTCTTTCGCTTGAGTTATTAGTACCATTTTTTACTGAGCAAATCAGGATCAAACTTTTATGTAACTCATAGTGCACAGTTCTTTTGGAAACTAGCCAAAGACTTGAGAACGAGGTTTCGTCCCGAGCTTCAAGCGAGCTGACTTGCGAGACTTACGCTTTTGTTCGCACACTGATTGATGCATGCTTCCTCTTTCATATCCGAAAGTAGCACATAAGAAACTTTTTGACTGAAAAGGCTAGTTTTCTTTAAAAAAAAAATGTTGAAATATCAGTGAAATTTGTCAAATAAGAAACTACAGTGAAACCTCGATATAACGAACGATACTTCAGTTTCAGCCCGGCTAAAGTTACAGTAAAATGTATGCCACAGAACCTCGATATTACAAACCCTCGATATAACGAACCAATTTCCCCAGTCCTTTGGCACTGCGTCAAATCGAGGTTCCTCTGTAGTCATTATCTAACGCAGAGGGGAAGCGAAGAGGTATCAAAGGATTTTTGTGGGGATCACACGGTTATAAGAGAAAGAAAGTGGGATCAGTCGTCGCTAACAGGAGGACTACAGATAATCGACTGCTAATCTCGTATGTAGTACCAGGACTCCAGGAGGTCATTACAACCGCTTAGCCGTGAGAGGTCTGGTTACGAGACTAATTGAGCCAATGAGGGAAGATCTTTAGAATACTAGCAAGGTCATGCGGGGAGGGGGTCAGGTAAATTTTTCGAGACAAAACCCAAATCCTCCGCCTCCCCCCTTCCATGTTGTAGTAATGACCGTTTCCTTAAAATCCCTAAGGTAAAAAGGTAAAGCCTACTCAGGAGCCATGTGGCTCATCGGGCTGGTGCTTAACTCCGGTTTCCGTAGCATGAAGCGACTAGAAGTATTTCTACTCCCCCCTGGATGGGATGCTAATCCACCGCAGGGTTACCCCCAGCATTAAATTTGCCGGTACCCATTTAATACACTTGGGTGAAGAGAGGCACTGTGAGAGTAAAGTGTCTTGCCTAAGAACACAACATAATGTCCCGGCCGGGGCTAGAACGCGGACCACTCGATCCGGAGTCAAGCGTACCAACCATGAGGCCACCGCGCCTCCACTTAAAATCCCTAAGTTAACCGATAATTCAACGTATCTGGAGTTTATACTTGTTGTAGAATCTTCACGGTATTCAATACTGACTCTAGTGGCAGCTTCCCACCTCAGATTGCCATCCATGATGTAGATTGGAGCTCGAGGTTTCTTGTACCAGAAGACATGCGGCTTACCAGGCCTTTCTCAAAACGAGAAGTCTTCATTACTTCAACTCCAAATGGTCGCCTCACTTTGCGCTGGAAGGAATGGTAACAAATTTTTCGCTCCCTCTTGCTTCTTCAGTAATTTTCTTGCTTTTAAGAAAGAGGGTAACAATCATTCTAGAGATAATTTGGATATATCAACAAAGTTGAAATGGTAAATTGGCCACCGTAACGATTACAAAAGCTGACGTTTCGAGCGTTAGCCCTTCGTCGGAGCGAATAGAGGAATTGTGGGTTGTGTGTGCTTTTAAAGGCAGAAAATGGAGCTACGTTATTGGTGGGATGGCAACATGGCAACGAGAAAAACAAGAACAAATTAGTGGAATGAAAAGCGTTCGTTGATCCCTGTGGGATTTAGACTGCCGGTTTGAAAGATGAGCTTTTGTTCAAGATAATTACGGCTTTCCGTGCTACCTAAGTGTAAGGAAAGACCGCAGACTGCCATATGCTGCTTAGATTGATTAGGTAAATTAAAATGCCCAATCATTCTAGAGACCCAAGCTAAGCTCCCTTAAGTAATATAGTTAATCAATCCATTTTCCTGGGGATGTGAATTCCGTTTGTCAACGTCGACGCCAGCGTCGTCATGGAATATGGAATGACGCAAGGTACTTTATTCCAACGGGTCACTCTTCAGAATTAAACTCAGCAACATAAAAATAAATTATATTTTCAAAGAGATAAAAGGACTATCTGCTAGCACACAAAATTTGAAAGCGGGATTGTCACGCGTTGTGGCGTAAGACGTTGCCGAATTTGTACAATTTTTCATCGTTTTACAAGGGGAACAACGGGCATCTAGGCGTATTTTTAGCCAATGTTTTCGATTTTGCAGAGAAAGCAAAGGGTGATAGAACATTTCGATATAATTTTTGAAAAGAATTCATCAAAAGGGAACTTCTGAGGAAAAATAAAATCAGGAATTACGAAATTTTGTAACCGTCGGCGGATTCTCGAAATTTATGGTTAGTCTCTCTCGACAAATATATATTGAACAAAGTGGAGGTGATTAACGGTGGATACTTACCAAGTTGAGTAGCGGTGAGATAAATATCCACGACTTTCACCTAGTGTCCGATTTAGGACACTAGTGTTGGATTTTAGAATCTAGCGTCCGATTTTGGAGATTAGTGTCCGAATTTGGACACTAGTGTCTGACTTAAGACACTAGCATGCAATTTGAGACATTTGTGTCGGATTTTAGACACTAGTGGCCAAAACTCGACATTAAGTTTTCACTTTCAGTCGAAGTTCTTTTCAATTTTACTCTCATTTTATGTCATATCCACCCTCAGTATCTCAACATGTCTCCTTTTACCTTGTCCTGATACTTGGATATCCCTTAAATGATTTGGTAACTTGTTGTAAGGACCGGCCGCTGTAACAACAACAACAATTTATTTCGCATTAGGGTGGGGGGTTACAATGATTAAAAATTACCCAAGAAAAAAATAAAGAAAAAGAAAAACCTTACATAATTGACACTGCCCGCAAGTAGCACGGGCTGGTCGCGGCGGGCAGTGACAACAATTTGTTAAGAGTCTAAAGCAAATTATAAATGTGCAGCTGTACAGCTTCCATAACTGCTGGCGAGCCCTGGCGAGGCAGCAGCCTATTCTTTTCAATAGCGAGAAAAAGCCAAAATTTGTCGGATGTGAGATCGGAGACATGCGCAGTCGATTACGCTTTTAATACCCGTGGTGCTTGTGATGACATGACGTGAAATGCACTTGGAAATATCGATCTAAGTCAAGGACACGATAAACGAGGTGAGTTTTTTATATAGATGTCTTTAATTGCACGTACGTGGAAGTATTCATCAAGGTCAAGAACGGTTTGGTGATGACTCTCGAGGAAGACAAGAGATTTTTATGTGTTTGGCTGCTCTATTATGTGAGCAATTTTTGCCGATTCGCGAATGGAGGTGCCAAGGTATCGATCAAGTCGTACTTCATGGCATAGTTATGTTCATGGAGATCATTTTTTTCTCAGTGCATTCAGCAGCAGTAAAGTGTTAGGCAAGAATGCTTTCATTCGGAGTTAACTGCCGACTGCAGCTTACTTTCACATTGCGCAAGGAGTAATGCACAGTCGTAGTCCATTTATGATCATGGATTTAAAAAAAAAAATGAATCTTATTGGGCACAATTGACCAGTTTTGATCGGTTCATAATCATCTGCATTAAATATGAACATTCGCAGTAAAGCAAAGATCCGTCTATGTATACGTAGAAACAGTTGTGATCCTACGCGATTCTCGCCTCTATGAAAACCTAAACACTAATGCCTTGGTTTAGTTCTAAGCTTCAATCGGCTGAATTGACTTTCGTTGGAAATGCATGATTGCTCGTTTCCTGTCACTGGACTGGTAAATTTCGTAACAATAACAGCAAAGTAAACTTAGGGTGAAAGGAACATAAACATATATAACAAAGGAAAAAATCACTTGTGGTAAAAGAAGCTATTCACATTCAAAGAGAACAACCTTCTTTGAATCAACAATTACATCATGTAAATCTAAAGCTATCCTCATAATTTTCACATTGTCACGTTTTCTGTTGTTACTAGCTTAATTAGCATGTACTTATAAATTCAACTTGTAACGCTTTGTTAATCAACTGAAGATGACAGAGGTTTCTGTCGAAACATGTCTTTTAAACTCAAATAGCNCTAGTATCGCAGAGGTCAGTGGTTCGAATCCCGTACAGGCCTGATTTTTTTCAGGTCTGATTCTCGCTATTGCTTAAATAGCGCTATCTCCTGCGAGGATCGTGTATCATACGTATCTAATACCGCAGTTCAAAATATATGAACTTCATATATTTCATTGTATCTGATTTATCACTTTCACGGGTTTATTACGAATCAACTTAACGGCCTGCTCCCAGTTGGCTTGTTAGCTCAATTGGTAGAGCGCTGCACTAGTATCGCAGAGGTCAGTGGTTCGAATCCCGTACAGGCCTGATTTTTTTCAGGTCTGATTTTCGCTATTGCTTAAATAGCGCTATCTACTGCGAGGATCGTGCATCATACGTATCTAATACCGCAGTTCAAAATATATGAACTTCATATATTTCATTGTATCTGATTTATCACTTTCACGGGTTTATTACGAATCAACTTAACGGCCTGCTCCCAGTTGGCTTGTTAGCTCAATTGGTAGAGCGCTGCACTAGTATCGCAGAGGTCAGTGGTTCGAATCCCGTACAGGCCTGATTTTTTTCAGGTCTGATTTTCGCTATTGCTTAAATAGCGCTATCTACTGCGAGGATCGTGCATCATACGTATCTAATACCGCAGTTCAAAATATATGAACTTCATATATTTCATTGTATCTGATTTATCACTTTCACGGGTTTATTACGAATCAACTTAACGGCCTGCTCCCAGTTGGCTTGTTAGCTCAATTGGTAGAGCGCTGCACTAGTATCGCAGAGGTCAGTGGTTCGAATCCCGTACAGGCCTGATTTTTTTCAGGTCTGATTTTCGCTATTGCTTAAATAGCGCTATCTACTGCGAGGATCGTGCATCATACGTATCTAATACCGCAGTTCAAAATATATGAACTTCATATATTTCATTGTATCTGATTTATCACTTTCACGGGTTTATTACGAATCAACTTAACGGCCTGCTCCCAGTTGGCTTGTTAGCTCAATTGGTAGAGCGCTGCACTAGTATCGCAGAGGTCAGTGGTTCGAATCCCGTACAGGCCTGATTTTTTTCAGGTCTGATTTTCGCTATTGCTTAAATAACGCTATCTACTGCGAGGATCGGGCATATGTATCCAATACCGCAGTTCAATATATATATGAACTTCACATATTTCATTATATCCAAAGCTGATTGGTTTGTTCACAGACTTCAAGCAATAACACATTTCGGTCACCAAACCAAGCACCTGGGTTTCGAAGTTTGTTTCGTAACGAAGCGCTTTCCTAGCGAGTAGGTAAAGAAAGATCTAAGCAATCAAGGTGATACATTATAACTCCAAAGTAAATACACTTTAACGGTCTAAAGCATGGGGAAATGAGAGTGACATAGTTTGTATTAGTTTTGCTGCTGATTGGTTAGGAGTGAAAATGGCCTGAGCACTCTTCGCCAATCACAGAGCATGGCATGATTACGCCCATGCAATTCTGGATTTATCTTGACACAAAGATGTAAATTTTTCTTAGAATGGAATTTTGTGGAAACGAAATGTCAACTATGTTTACTTGAAGGGAAAGTACGGTCTAGAAAAAGGTTCATCTCAGTTAAAAGGCTTTTTCGTCAGAAGTTCGAAAGTAACTGCCATTTTGTCCAGTTTGCTATGTATTAGCGACAAGAGCGCTTTGAAGTTGCCCATTTTTACAATTAATTGATATTGGTAAACTTTTTCTAGACCGCTCTTTCCATTTAAAGCTGCATGCCCCAAGTACTAAGCACTTTTTTTTTGGTCAAGAATTCAAATAAGTGTTATAATTAATATATTTAATTTGGCTGCTACATCGGGGTAGACAGGCATCGATGCGGGATTATTCCGTGCACAATTTTAATGCTGTATGTTGTAAGGTAACGTTTAAGACATGCAGTGCAAGATCTTTTTGTTCGATTCTATGCAACTGAAGTCAATAACTTAACTGTATAACTTACTTTTGTAGCAACTGATTGCAGGAACTGCCATGCCGAACGACGTGCAGTACAAGTCATTGTTGATCGTAAACGAATCGAGGGATGCTAAGATCACTTTGTACATATATCCCAGATGGGATTTTGTATGTTGGATTTCCTTCAGTTCCAAAATTATCCTGCCAGGCGAGAAATACTTGTATCGCAGCAAAGATTCATATAAATTTGAGCTCGTTGCCGGATTTGAAGATAAACCTAAAGAAAGTCTGTTGGAACCCAAAACTTGGGTAGCTGACAAACTCCTGAAAGTTACAGAAGACCTCCGTCTGATAGAGGGAGAGCTGGAGGATTTTCCACTTGAGAAACGAGTCTGTCTTCGTAGACTTCAAAGAGACAAAGAATTAAATGTCACAAGTGGAAAACGAAACCTGTACGACATTCTAGAACTGGACATGGATCAGATTCGCAAGCTGCCAATAGAGAAGCAAAGAGATGCCATTAAGAAGGGATTCCGTAAACAGATACAACGATGGCATCCCGACAAAAACTTTGGCGACGAAGAGAACGCAAAGGAGATCATTATGGCGCAAGAAATTTTATTAAATGACGAAATGCGAGCTCGGTACCACAACGAGGCTGATTACGACAGAGGCTGGCTGTCTTTCAAACGATATAAAGCGATCTTAAATCCGGAACGATTCACAACGGAGCAGAAGGAAGCCTACAAGAAAAGAATACTCATGTTTGCTGCGTCGGTGGGAATTGCAATTTGTGGAATTGGCCTGACTATTGGAACTGCAGGCGCAGCAGCCCCATTGGTAGTAGCCGTTGGGGGAGTCTTTGGCGGTGCAATTACCGGAGCTGGAATCCAATCGCTACAGCACACTGTGAATAAGAGGTCCGTCGTGACCGAAGAGTGCAATACCAAACAGTGGTTGTTGAAAGCTGGGATTGGATTGATTTCTGGGGCAGCAATTGGAGGCGCTGCGGTAGGCATCACAGCAGGTGTAGTGGGCCTTGGAAGCAGTGCTATGGAGTCTGCCGTTGTTACAGCGGGTCAGTACATGGGGACTGGAGTAGGAACCGGCGCCGTTGGTGGTGCTGTGTCATCCATTGCCTCCGATATCGGGAGAAAATTTGTAGATGGAGAAAAAGTCTCATTGAAGCAAGCAGCTTGTCGTGCAACATTTGGGGCTGCCATTGGTGCTACTGAAGGAATTGCAGGAGGTGTTGTCTCCAAAGCTATAGTGGGTGGCCAATCATCAGCTGCAACTGCTAATATCCAAGGGGAGGTCGGAGAACAGATTGCGATACTAACTGGCGCAAAACGTCTTACCGATGTATTGGTTAGGAACGTGTCTCGAGCTGTGACAGAGTCTGGAGCCGAAGCAGTTATGGGAACAGCAGCTCAATTTGTCGAGGAGCGCTTAGATGATTCTGTAGAAAATCAAAGCCCTGGACAACATTTTCTAAGGGGAGCTATAAACTTTGCTTCAAAGACTATCAAAGCCGGCTTTCGAGAAAGCAGTAGCGCACTTTTGTCTCACTCGAAAAACGAAATCGATGTCTCAAAACGAGCCAAAAAGTACTCGAACCTCGAGGTCGATATTTATGATAAAAGTGGCGCGAGGCGTGGTCAGGTGAGACAAGAACTTTTCGAGGAAAATAACGAGCATCTCGTCAAATGTGAAAAAAGCACTTGTTCAGCAACCTATCAACCTCTAGAATCTGAAGGGCTGTTGGAGAACAAAACCTACTCATTGCCTACAGTCTACGAAGAAGCTGTCGTCCCCTGCGAACAAGAAGATCCATTGAGAGCGAACGAGCATGTGAACCCCGTGGTCGATATTGAAGAAGAAGCGGGCGTGAATGACTATTGTGGCCAGGTGAACCTGGCTGATCAACTCCTAGAATCTGACGAACTGTCGGAGGACAAAACCAGTCCATTGCTCAAGGTCCGTGAAGAAGTTGGCGTCCTCGACAAACGTGAATCAAATCCACTGGAAGACACAAGGATTAAATATATCTCTGAAGGGGCTTGGTTCTCTAGAATGATTGTTAGCTTCTTTCTTAATGACGAGAAAATTACGCAACAAGTAAGTGGGAGCGGAAAATTCATTACCATTCCTTCTCCTGCAAGAGGAATTAAAGTCAAATTTCAAGTGAGCCGACCATTTTGGGGTGACGTCATGAAGTATGATCGCTTTAAAGAGGCCTGGTTTCGACCTTATGAGCCGCATGTCTTCTGCTACGACAACCCAACAAACCGCACGTTTATCGTCAGCGGCAACCTGTGGTGGGAAGCAGTCATGAGAGTTAGTGATGAATACCACGACGAAACAAAGGAACTATAAGATTTCGTAAACTTTAAGAACACAGAACCACTGATCTCTTCAATGATTGTTTCAGATTCTTTCTGTTCTTTTTTTTGTCAGAACCGCTGTGTACAAATGAACGCAATGTTTTTACAGTAGCTCCGGGTTAGACTTTGGTATCCGATTTTAGACACTGGTGTCCGATAGTAGACATAAGTGTCCAATTTAGACGTTAGTCTCCTAAATTGGAGACTGGAGTTTAAAATCGGTCACAAGTGTTTAAAATTGGACACTGGTGTCTCAAAGCGGACACTAGTGTTTAAAATGGGACACTAGTGTCCAAAATGGGTCACCAGTCGAAAATCAGACAGTGTTATGCTGTTATGCTATCAAAGCTGGTGAGTGCAAATATCGCTAATGCGATTTAAATCTGAAAACTAATCATGAAAACTTCAACTTGTGTAAGTAAGAAGAGTTTTATATCCAAACACAAAAGAAACAGATAGTTATTGGAATTCAAGACATGTATTGGTAGTTATACAAATTTACCGTCTAACTAAAATATCGATACTGAATGTTTAGAAATTGCAAACTCTTTCCAACAAAGAAATGTCTTTATTTTGATTCTTGAGCTCAAAAATGTATGCCATCTTTTTTGTCATAAATAAAATACCTGGTTGTTGTACATGAAACAAAAATTCATCTAAAAGCTCAGTCACAAGCTAAAAATGTGAGAAACTTAGATAAGGTTCTCAAAAATCCTTATCATGGCTGACAGAATAGGATCAATTTCAATATCTTAGCAACTAAGCACTCACCCCTCCCCTAAGCCAACATTACAACTAAAGTTGCTGTTTTGTTAAGGGAGGGGTAGGGGCCCAGTTCCTGTCAATCATCAAATATTGGAGAGAGAAAATGCCTTGAGTCTTACGAGTCCCATATTTAATTGTTCTTTAATAATCTATCACATATCACCCTTCGTAAACAAAATATGCCGCGGACGTTTTTTGTTACACTGCCTTGAGTTCATTTGAACTAACCATTACATAAAAGACAAATATTTCCGTTTTTCTGTCCCCCCCGTTACCTCAGTCTAACGGTCTGTTTCAAAGGGCGAAGAGAATGGAGAACTTGGGGAAAAGAATAGATTTTACAATAAATTCAACAACTATTCCGTTGGATTTTCTGGCCACTTACAGAAGTATTCCCTTCTTGTACACGAATTCTTCCACTGAAAAGCTAATGACAGACTCTAAGTCAAAATTTTACCTTTTCATTTGATCACTTATTGCCCATTTTGAAATCAGGGATTTTGAACACTGTTGTGGTTTATAAATTATGATTGTTACACTACATACCTATGTCAACACAACACAAATAACTTTAACGACCTGGTTATAAAGGAGGAATTCCCCACTCCTACCCCAAAGAGTCACACCAGCCTTGCCTCCACTCCTCCCTACTTAATATCAACAGTTATCAAAATCCCTTCTCTTCTAGTTGTCCCTACTTATATTTTCAAAAATACTGCTTATAAATTTACAGCTGGGTATTAAAAACAAAGTCAGTTACAATTCGTCCCTAAGCAAGGTGTATCTGTTGTAACTAGGGGCAAGTTTCTTAAATACAGTCTCCGGGGGTGAGGTTTGTTCTTTACGTCCTGATCCGCTGTTTGCTTTTCCTGATCCTGTCCTCTGTGTTTCAGCACCTTGGCCTGTTTCTGTTTCTGTTTCTGTCCCTGTTACTTCTGGACTCTCTGTCTCAGTAGTCTCCTGAAAGTCAAACAATTTACAATTGAACCACCCAGTAAGACAAACAGGTGTGTGCTGCGTCCAACCGGATTTCATCTCAAAGATTTAAGAGTCTCAACCCACTACACCCTAACATCAGTGTACATATTCTCCACACTGATCTCTATTCATTCTCCAAGGCATTGACAAGGAGAATATGTTTAACAATCAAGAGCTTCTTCAAAATGGTCATCATTTCCTTTATTCTCCTGACCTTAATGTGTGATCTAGGGGTGATATTTTAAGGAGAAATTAAATACTAATCACTCCTAAAACGGATAAATGGGTGTACAATTTTGTTATCAAGGGCTAAACTGAGTCAGAGTTTAAAGGACTTAACAGCAGAGCCACACCAGCCCCTCCCCCTTGAAAACAAGCCAGAATAAGGTAAACAAAATTTCTCTCCATCTTGCTTTCCTTTCTGTCGCATGAACTCACCTCTTCTTCCTCGTGTCCTTGTTCTGCTGGATCAGGTCCATGATGGAACTCTCTGTGCAGTTTTCCTGAGTGCAAATCCTTAACAAACTTCTTGAGTCTTCCTGGTTTCCTGTGGTAACCAAAAAAGCCCACTCAGAACTTTCACTTAACTCTTTACACCCTAAGAGGGTTTTTTTGTTTGTTTGTTTGTTTGTTTTATTCATGATGGTAATTAGACCAGCTGGAGTCCAATTGCATCTGTTTAACTATACATTGATAAACAACTGATGAACACATTTAGGAGAACAGCTCAGTAAGAGACTGATTTGGTAGCCACAAGTACATGCATGCTATCTTGGTGCTTAAATCAGGCTAATCCAAAACAATCACTTTCATGAATTTTTCTGTAGTTTTAACTGAGGATCACCAGCTAATACAGCTCTGATAATCTGATAAGGTTTGAAGTCATGGTAAGTTGATTCGATGAGGTTCACCACTGCTGGTTTCCATCTGTATCATCACTTACTTGATGTCATCAAACTTTGGCAAAAGATACATATGTTTAAAGCTGTCAATCGCAACGAGAGGAAGGTCCTAGTAAAAAAGAAAAGAAGATTATTACATCGCAGAATAAATCTACTGTAATTGTCAAACAGAAGATTAATACAATTACTTTGAATTGCCTCACAACCAGTTCAGCTGATTCAAAAGTTATTGAATTCAATTACAAGTGACTTACCTCAGGTCCTTTTCCCAAGTGATGCAGTGGATGAGAGAATTTGAGCCCATCAGCGATAAGAAAATTGATGTTTCCTGAAAAGGTAGCAAACCAACATGAATAGAACCACTGGCAGACTTTTTTAGCATCCATGCAGCCAGCCAAGAGGGAAGAGGGAGTGGGGGTGCTTTAGAGTAATACATCTTGTCCAAGAACAGTAACCCTGGTAACCCTTACGGTGGCTCGTACCGGTTTTCATCTTTTTGATGGTTTGTAACTTTGAAAGAATACAACAGAAAGACTGACCAAGGCCAGTTGAACACTTTTAAAGGGTTGAATTATGTAATCATTGGTTATCCAAAAATAGGCGTCATTTCGTCACTAGCAG